TCTTTTCCCCTCATTAAACAATTACAATTCTTAGTACTATTGATGTATACAAAATTATAGACATCATCATATTTTACTAATATTATAGAAATAACATCAATTCATAAGTCAATTTCCTGTTTTTCGTGCTCTTATTAAAGTTTGATTTCCTATCAATATTTAAAATATCTGTCAATTATGATTTTCTCAATATTAATTACATTTATATAGCTAAAAATTTTATTCATACCAATCTTATTTTCAAATTTCCCATATCAAAAGAAGAAAAAAGATGCTATTTTAATTCTAAATCATATCTTCCATGATCGACAAGGCATCCCTCCTTCTGCATCACCTCTTCGGGGCGACTTTAGGCTCTTTTCAGGGGCCCCAGCCACGACGCAAAACCGGAAGTCTCCATGGTCTCTTCTATATGTAGCCCAGAGAGGAGGTAGCATTGGGCGCTGGCATCACCATAGTCACATCAGATATGCTGAGCAGGAGGGGCGCTCCTAGCGCAGTCCCGCTATGGCCCACACCAGTTTGTGCCGAGCATTGGCTGGCCAGCCAGGGCAGCAGCTGCTATTGCTACTGCTGCTAGTGCACTCCATCCTCTTGCCACACTCTGCATATTCTGCCCATATGCTTGGCCAGCTCCTGTGGTGAGTTGTCCCCAAGGTGAGTTAAATGTGTCACATTTCCTGGGGTAAGTTGGCGGCAGTGAGCTTGCAACAGCTAGTTGGTCGTGGCTAGTTGGCCATGGTGAATTGTCCTATTCTGGACCTAAGATCCTCCATATGTCATGCAAAAGAAAGCTGATATGTCAATGCTAATAGGAAATATCTCTTGTTGCTGCCAACTCATTTAAATGTCGGATTTCTTTAGGTTCTATTTATGTAACAGAATTAAGCCAGTGATTTCAATTCTCAGTCAGTAGTTTAGATCCAAACAACCCAAGTTAAAACTAATGCCCTCACAGTTTTTATGGTTTGCACAACATGCTTACCCCCAATAACCCAGTTAAAAGAGTCATGTGAATTAGAGCCTTTCCAGCTCTATAATTCAATAATCTTGTACTTCTGATTTCTAATTTCTTTAAAAATAGCTTCCATTAATATACTAACATATTTTATTTCTGAATGTGATCCTGAGTATATAAAATCCACATTGCTATTTGTTGGAACTTTTTAAATTATATTTTTTAAATTTTTTACAATAGCATTCTTTAGTGCTTAGTAAACAGTGTGTTGTCTGGGTTCATATGTTTAAAAAACAATAATTCATTTCTATAATTCCATAATCAATATGTTAATTAGTGATATATTTCTTTGATTTTCTCTTCATCCAATGGTATTCTTCGTTTATCAACATATAGCAAATATAATACTTAAAATTCAATACATATAAAGTTAAATATAAACCTTTTTCTTGTATTTATACAAATAACAGTAACATCAACACATAGCATCTTTTTTATCAGTTTATATTTCAGTTGTATTTATAGTAATCATCTTATTAAATCACTATATGTCCTGTTTTCAAAATTCTTATTTAAACTTAATTTTCCCTCTGTATTCAAACCATTCTTATCAGTCATAGTTTTCTCAAAGTTAGTAACCTTTAAATATCCAAACTTTTCATTCATATACCCAATATTTTCATATTTCACATTTCACAATAAAAAATACTATACTACTTGTATGTCTTATCTCTCTTACTATGAGACCCCTTTATATCCATAATGTATCTATTCTTTTAACCATATTCAAACAATAGTACTCCCTCAGTTAGATTGCATCAAATATCTCAAATCTGATTCTATCCTCCTTCTTTTGCCAAGTAGTTTTCCAAATTAATGTATTCAACTTGCCCAGGGGTTTTTCCCTTTATTTTTGTAACTGCTGTTTGGAATAGAAAAAACAAGTTAGGTAAGACATGTATTTTTTTGTCTCCCAAACTTTAATGATTGTCCTGGTTGCTCTATAGTCCATTTTATTAGATTTTCTTTTCAATCTTCAAGTTGATTTTGAGGTCATGAAATATAGAATATCTTTTCCATTTCCCTTGTTATGGTAAAACCTTTCAAATTTTCTTTTGTTTGTAGTTCTCTTCATCTGTAGTTTCCCTTTTTGGGTTGCCGACCTTTGATTTATATTCTGTTATCTGGTCTGTTTGTTCATTCTTTTTCATCATTTTCTGAGAACTTTTACTTGTAAGTTTAAGTTGGAAATGTGCTCATTTATGCCAGCAAAATTGTTTTTAATCTCATCATGATTTGAAATTATTGTCATTTGAATCTATCGCAGCATTGCATACACTTCCTCCTGGGAAGTATTTGCCTTGTCTTGAATTATTGCTCCTGCAGAGTTCTGATGTTCCAGGCTGGGGCCTTCAAAAAAGGATATTATATGTAGTTTACTGCCACTTTTTAATAGGTGTGCAGCATCCATTTTATCTTCCCCTTCCAAATGTACTTTCACCGGTACCATAGTCTCTGTGTTTTGCCTTTTAAACCAGCCAATCTTAAAGTCCAAACAACCAAATTTTATATAGTTCTTATCTTTTTATATATGGTTTTTTTTTAAATAATCCAATGTGTTTCCAATTATCAAAGCACCACTGAAGGCAGTATTTTATCATGTTTCTTCTGTTCAGGGGTTTTACAATTTATCTTCCAGCCAAGGTTGCAGTCCAAAATATTTGACTATCCAGTAAAATTCCCCCCTAGATTAGCCAATAGTTAAAGTTTTTCTTTTTCTGCAGACACAGAAAAGATTACAGCTCAGTAAATATTTATAATCCCAGAAGGTCAGCTGTTTTTGAAGCAAGTATAGTTCTCAATTTGTAATATATGGCCCAGTATGTTTACTTTCTTTGTTCTCAGTTGTTTCCTATTTGGCTGAAAGTTATTAAAGTTCAAGGGAACAGATTATTCTTTGTTTCTGGGCATCTTGCAAATTTCTGAGTCAGTGTTGCTGTTGTTCTATACTCTAATTCTCCACTAGATGTCAGTATTTATTTATTTTCCAACTTTTCAAACGAATTGTGTTTTTATAATTTCATCAAAACTCTTTTAGATATAAAATCTTAACGATTATTCTTAATTTTCAGATTTATCCAGACTATAACATTATTAATTTCATTTCAATGTATTCCCTCGTGAAGTTAATTCACCGCTTCCATCTATGGAAGGGTGGGGGTACAATCCCCTCCCTTTTCATTTTCGGAGGATTTCTTGCTTTGGGAATTTTTTCCAGGGAATCAATTACAAAATAGAAGAGAGAAGATCAATGTTTTCACCCTGTTCCAAGCACGTTGTTCTGGTTTGTGCACTTGGACTTTGGCTGCTGGTAGCTTGGGCTAGACACTGATGTGCAGCTAGCCTTTCTCCTGTTGGGTTGGAGGGCTTCCCCCGGATCGAACAGATCGACCGCTGTCATTCCGTGATCATTGGGGTGCCCCTCCTTCGTCGCCTCTCCGGGGCAACTTTAGACCCATTTTAGGGTCCCCTGGCAGAGCGAAACCAGCCATGAGGTGCAGAGCCCCGCAATCCCTCAGCCATGTTGCCACGGGGCAGAACCGGAAGCCCTGTTGGAACTTTTTTAATGAGTAGAAATTACACTTACGGTAGCAATAGCACTTAGACTTATATATCGCTTCACAGTGCTTTACAGCTCTCTCTAAGCAGTTTACAGAGTCAGCATATTGCCTCCAACAATCTGGGTCTTCATTTTATCGATCTTGAAAGGATGGAAGGCTTGAGCATTGAGAATCGAACTGCCAAACTGCTGGCAGCCGGCAGTCAGCAGAAGTAGCCTGCAGTACTGCATTCTAACCACTGCACCACCACGTAGTGTAGAGAGTAGGCATTTTATTTTCAGAAAACACTTGAGTATAAGCAGTTTGCTTAAACAGACTGATTGTTCCTATAAACTGAACATGATTTGAGGTAGGAAATTGAATCCTGTCCCAACCCACCTTTAGGCTTAATATCAACAGTGGATATAATTGAATACTGATCTCCTCTTCCAGAATCCCTGTTGTTACACAGTCCTTGTCTATGCCTCCTTGAGATAAGTATTGGTAGTTTCTGCTGTCACCAACTATTTTCTCAAAGGCATTTCACAACCCCCCTACCCATCTCTGCATGAGAGTATTCTTACTACCTGTATTGCTTTACTAACAGTAAAAAAGTAAATGTGAAAAAAATGAACCAATTTCTGTGATGCAATTTTTTTACTCTAAATTGTATAGGCACATAACTAAGGGCTTTAGCCTTTGTCTCTTTTTGATAATTAATTCTGCAAGACATAAAATCAAACTTTATTTTTAAAAAAACTCGAAGATATACGAAATCCAATTTACAAATCTATTTGTGACAGACCACCAAGTTATGATTGGACTGAGGGCAGGCTCACAAGAATTCAAAGAGCAGCTATAGAGGACAATCCTGGCAAAAGAATGTCCATCAGTCAGCAGTGGGTAAGTGACTGAACAACAAAGAACAAAGATTTTCTTAGTTATCTAAATGAAGCAATTTGAAGAGCTTTCCATACACATAGATGAGAGCTATGACAATAGTTATGTGGGAGGATCAAAGGGAAAACGAGGTTATATTGGTCTACTTCTCCCACTCTAACCTCCTCCCCACTAAAAGGCAGGATGCTCATTTTTTCAGGCAGAACCATTTCATTTGAACTATGAAAATCCGGAGGATCATTAGAAGGCAGCAGAGAGAAAAATACAACATTTTGCTATCTTTGCCCTCGCAACTTGTTTAATCGTTCTTACCGTAGGTAAGCCTGTTGCCTTTATTTCTAACGGTAATGCTCCCGTCTGCCAAAATGCATATTCCAGAATCTAGACTTGATTATCTGCCACCTTCAGGAAAGTTTACGGTCAAAATTCCCTACCACGTTGGACTCGCAGGGAACCAGCCCGAGAGCTTTCCTCCACCCGGAAGTGGTTGCAAGCGAGCGGTCGCCAATGACGTCATTAACACGCGCCCAAGCCCTCTTCTAACAACAAGGTTTCTCGAGTGGCGGGTTCCCTGGTTACGAAGCAGGGATGAGTGATTCGGAGCGCGGCCCAGCCCCAGGTGAGGAGGATGGTGGGGAGCCCGAGGAAGAAGGGGAAGAGGAGGAAGAAGAGGTCGCTGCTGGGGATGTGGATGCCGAGACTGCGCCGGGTGGGCGGAAGGTTCGTGGTGGGCGGAAAGCCCGGGGTAGGCCGCGCCTCACCGAGTCTGACCGGGTACGACGACGCCTCGAATCCCGCAAGAAATACGACGAGCGGCGGGTCTACCTGGGCGAGTCTCACGGCTCGTGGGTGGACCTGAGGCAGCGCAGTGGCTGGAGTGACGCCAAGCTGGCGGCTTATTTACTGGAACTGGAACGAGAACAGCAGGCCGGGCGCCGCGGGTGAGAGTCGGCAGAAGGGTCTGAGGGAGGAGATGGCTAGCTAGACGGTTAAGGCAAATGGGGGAGTATTCAGCCGCATGCGCCCCGAAGGCCTCGTGGTCATACAAGATGCGGGGCGTGAGAAGCGTGGGCCTTCCCTCCGAGGGCAAGTGCAAAGCAGGCAAAGGGCCAGAAATGAAGGGTTCTCCAAAAACATGAATTGGGAGAGGTGCGAGGCCTTTTTTCTGCGCATGGAGGCTGATAGCGCGGTTTTGCCAGCAAAACTGCCTGACGTTTCGGAGATTAGCGTAGGACTATTTCCAGTTTACCTTAATTTCCTGTGCACCTTCGAATTCGGCTGCTCCAGAAGATGTCGTTCTCTAGATTTCAAGGCATTTGATAAAAGGAGTATGAGATGGTTAATTCTGAAAATGGGCATCTTATGTCATCTTGGGTTTAGAAACAAATAGTGAGAAACAGGTGGATACCTGGCAAACTATAACCATTCTGTGGTTTTCCCCCCCATTATCATCAGGGAGGGCACTTATATGGCTGTTTTAGAATGAAGTACTATAATTTGTCACATTTGAATATTGTATCCTCCATAATTATCCATCCTCACTATATTTGTGCAGCCAAGAATTATTTATCAAATTTTAAAAAACATTTCCTAAAAATGATCAGTCATATCCTTAGTTTAGTTTGTAATGCATGCATGTATTCTCTGGAAATGTAACATACAGGTCTGAAAAATGTATGAAATTTAGAGACTAATCGACATTACTATGCATGGTGACCTGGAAAAATACCAGATCAACTAATAGTGGATAACTGTTCTTCATAGAGTCCTTGTTTGCTCATTGGCGGTATTTGCTCTAACTGAGAAACAGAGAGCTTGTTTGAATTCTGTTTTCTGTTGTTTGTTGCTCTGATAGAGACTATTAAAGAAGAGTGTGCTGATTAGGGTATAAACTAGGTGTCTTCAGAAGCATAATTTCCTTATTTCTTACCATTACTTTCCTCTCTGTGAATGACAGTCTTATTGAAATACTATGTTTGAAGAAGTTTTTCAGGCTTTTGAAAAGCCTTTGGCTGAGGCTTTCCTTTGACAAACAAGTCCTAGTATTCATTTCTGGAGATCTAGGTGCATACCATGATATTCTACCGTCTTTACTTACAGAAAACCATGGGAGCAGATGCTTTATGAGCCACAACGAAACAAAAGTAAGTGTAATCTATGCATTGATATATTAGGCTTTATTCATACTCTAAAAATGCAGACAATCAATTGCTGTCAGTTTTTAAATTAAAAAAAACCATTAAAAAGCAGAATGGCACAAAGTGTAAAAAAATCAAGACGAAAGTCTGGAATGAATTTATAGTGATACAGAAATTGGCAGCAGTTCTTTGCAAAGTAAATCTCAGTGAATTTGAATGAATATATAATTATTTGCATAAATTCCTGGTATAAGAATCTTCACTTACCTTTGTAATGATTTCAGAAATATTTATTTGAATTTATTGTAGTGGCTTAATTCCAATAGCCTCTAATAATTTTTACCTTTCTCTTAATAATTTAAAATTCTTCCATCTATAGCCCTATATGGTTTATTAGTTTTGTTGAATCTAATGTTCTCTGTGTTTTGTTTGTTTTCTATTTGCACCTAAAAATCAGTTAATTTTTTTTTTGGCTATAATCACCTTTACATCTATCAAAAAAAATATCAAGAGATCAAAGGGCACATTCTAACTTTTAACTTTGTTTATTGATTCTACTATATTTGACCACACTAAACTTGACATTGAAACTGCTCAACATCCATTATAGATTTAATTTCATATAACTGGCTCAAATATTTTTAAAACTAAAAAAGCCAAACTGTATATTTATACTGAAAAATTCATCATATTCTCATAATATAACATTGACTTCTTGGAATTTCATTGCTTTGTTTAAAGTATCAATAGAGATTAAAATATAAATATGCCTTATAGCACATCACATTTTCTGTTAAAAATCATTTATAGCTCTTGTATTGACACAATTTAAATGTTAGGGACTTATTTAAGTTAGCTGTTTGGTTTTTTAAAAATTTGGTCTTTTTGTATTGACATGAGCATAAAAGCAGCGGTTCCCAACCTTTGGGGGTTGGTGGCCTGGCTGGGGGGGAAGGGGAACCAGGCCGCGTGAGCGAAGGGCAGTATGACTGTGCACACTGACAGCTCAACTCGCATGAGCAGCCCGCGTTTCGCGTGAGTCGAGCGGTGCATGCCCGCCAGCCTGCTGCTCGTGTGAGCTGTGCACATCAGCCAGCCAGCTGCTTGCATGGCCCGGTTCCAAATACACCATGGCCAGTAGTGGGCCACAGCCCAGGGGTTGGGGACCCCTGCATTAAAGGTTGTTTCATTTTGTTATTTTTCAACATGTAATGCCAATAATCCTTCAGTAATCAAAAATCACATGCCCTGTTCATGTTGAAATTTCAGTTTCTTGAAATACTATATTAGAATTGGCATTATGAGTAATGACTGTTAAAAATGAAATGGAGACCTAAGAAATTAATAACCTTTTATCATCCTTTTTAAAAAGTATTTTTTCTTAGTTTGCAGTAGTCCCTAATATAGAGCTGAAGTTACTGAGCTTAAAAGCTTTTTGTTTACTTCAAATTATAAATTCTCAGTTATAGCAGGAATATTCTTACCTTTTAATAAAGATCATTTAATATACTATATATATGATTGTAGTCCTAAAAAATCCTGGAATAAATCCCATTGAACTAAATTGTCATAATCACTAGAACCAGCATTTTTTTTATTCATTTACAAAGGTTTTGGTTTCTGTTGTTAGACATTTCCAAATCTTGTGAGTTAACTAGATATGGGGGAGAGAGATACTGCTCTCCATATAATTTTCAGGGCTGAATATAACCAAATAGGACAGTTTATTGCCTAAGCTAAAGCAATTGTTTGTAAGACTTACTGATGTTCAAAATTGGACAGAATGGATAAAGGACTGGATTTTCTAAAAGGAGAAGAAATACATGGTCAAGCAACCAGCACTGTTCTTACAAAAGTTTCAGCCTGCAAAGTATTTTTCTCTCATAAAGCATAATGTACAAACTGGTCTCAGGAAGTAGTCAAGTACTGTAAATATTCAGCTTAGTGACCAGATATATCTAGTTAGTATCATGTGATGCTAAGGCATTCTATGACTGTATTATTCCAAAGTGCTGATGTTTCAAAATAAAGTGTGGAATAAAACTTCATTTATGTATTCCTTCTGATGAAATGCAAAATGCTATTCTTTATTGTCATTAATCATAAAGAACATTGTGAACAATGATAATACACTGAGGCATACCGTATTTATTTTAACAGCTTTGCTGTCCTAAAATGGGTCTATTTTCTTTTTCTTTTACATTCTATTTTACTGAAATTCATTTGGTTAGTTGTTTTCCTAAATGTAGAAATAATTAACATAAAATTACATAATATATAAAGATAGATGGATTTTGTCATTAGCTTTCAGAGACAGCATGCCATCTGTTCCAAGTTTCTCAAACACTTTCTTTGCTTTATTTTGTTTTGTTTGCTTCCCATTCTTATCGTGTCCCAAGGAAGAAGGCGAAACGTGAACTGCCTGAAGAACACAGTCATCTGGTATGAAGATCACAAGAATCGCTGCCCTTATGAGCCTCATCTCTCTGAGCTGGATCCCAACTTTGGGATGTACACCACAGCTGTCTGGCAATGTGAAGCAGGGCACCGCTATTTCCAGGACTTGCACTCACCACTTAAACCACTCAGTGATTCTGAAAATGAATGTGACAACGGTAAGTGTACAGTGTCCAGGATGTTAAAACTCCAACCTGACTTTTTTTTTTTTGCAGTTAACATATAGCAAATATTTCTATGTAGCTTTTGCAACTCATATAAGCTAGCTGCTTTCTTTATTGCAGCTGAGCTTGGAAATCAGTGAGACAAGCTGGGATAACTTTGGAAATGCATGAACACAGTTTAAGTTAGAGCAGTGAAGTTGGAGATGGACTAATACACATTATTGAAAAGAAATTCATTTTTGAAATAAATTATCACATCATGGATAGCCCAGAATTCCTAAAATTTATTAGTGTATGTATGGTTTTCAGTTATTTTCCTTCCAGATTGAATATTGTAAGGTAAAATGTTATCTTTAAATGTTTATATTAAAATGTCTATGTAATATTGCACCATTTTAACCAGTGTTTTTTCATAATTTTCCCTAGGCCTGTTGTTCTGATAGTTTGTGACAAATAATATGTTCTTTTTAAAAAGATTTAAATGATTTTTAAAATGCCACATTAGAACATTTTCTAGAACATTAGAACATTTCCTAGTGCCAACCAGAAAATAGTTTATTTTCCAGACTTGATATTTACAATCATTGATTGTAGCACACTATTTTTCCAATAAGTATTCTTGGCTAGTTGACTTGTCTGTCTGATTTCAAATACTAAAGAAATTAGACTGCAGAATACTATTGTCAAGAGTGATTTGCTTTTCACCTATTTTCTTCTCTGCTCTCAACTTGACAACAATAGGGAGGGAGGGTGGTTGAATTGTCTGGGATGAGAATGAAATGCCAAGAATCTATCTGCAGATTGTGAAGCCCTGCTCCCCCCTTCAAGGACATGTGCCAGATCCTTGAACAATCCAGACCAGACATATCAAACTCAAGGCCCACATGCCAGATCTTTGAATGATCCAGAGAGTTCCCATAACAAACTATGCAAGCAACTAGCCCAGCCACCAGGAGGCGTCACTGGCAGGGGCTCAGCCAAAGTCCCAGTTGATCCAACCTGGGAAGCTGGTGCCGCAGGGAGGAACTACAATCCTAGTGGACCTCTATCAAGCTGAAGCTGCCCCTCAGCGCAGGAGCACTCCTATTGCCGCTGAAGAGGAACGCCTGTTACTGCTGTCCCAGGGGTTTTCATCCGTGGCATACCAGAAGGGCAAGGGATCGATCAGAGGAGACGATTCCAGAGACTAAAAGCTCCAGTCCGCAGTCCATATCCTCTCGCTTGAGTAGCTGAAGGAGAAGTTCGGCAGATTGGAGGTAAAAGAGATGGTGGGAGCACCGTGGGGGGAATGCCAAGGGCTACCCATTTCTTTCCCCCCTTTGCTGGAGTCCCAGCCCAACTGCGGGAGCTCATGCTGCCTCACCTATTCCCCAGCCAGCTGTGATGTCAAGCCCTGTATCCCAACCAAGCCCGATGCTGCGGCCTTGGGCTGCCAATCCAGGAGCCCGGCCAAGAGAAATCCGGAGCGTGGTTCGGCCACATCCCCAGGACCAACAAGCAGCTCAGCAGCAAGAGCAGGCAGCCCCGCCACGATTTGAGCTGCCTCCCATCAAGCCCACCTTTGATGGGGACCCCGAGAAGCTATCCTTCCTGAATCAACTGTGGGCTCATCTAGTTTCTCTACGCTTATGCCTACCTGGATGATGCCCAGATGGTGAATGCCATGGCAGTCAATTTGGAGGGGGAAGCGGCCAACTGGGTGACCAACCTCCATGATGAAGGGGCTCCTGAGCTGTAGAATGCTAACCTATTCATGGAGCAATTGAGAGGTCATTTTGAAGATGAATACCAAGCCCTGTTGGCCGAGAAAGAAATCCATTGTCTGAAGCAAAAAGGCCGACCTGCTAAGGAATATATTTGTGAATTCAGGCGAGTTGCTGGTCAGCTAGGGCAGTGGCTGGGATGATCGTTGATCAACTACTTCAAGCAGGGGCTAGACCACGGGTTGGCAATCCGCGGCTCCGGAG